TATACAATAATCATCATCTTCATCAATATCGTCTTGAGAGTACAACTTATTTTCAAGATAATGTACCAATGTAGAATCTTCTGGGCACAAAGGACAACGATGTATCATGCAAGTCTTGTTTGCCCTACTACAAACAAGCATATCAATAAGCTCGTGGTAATCCTTTGATAATTTAACTGCACTAATCATTAACTTAACATTTTGATGGTAGGTGCACACACATACTGTATGCGTACCAGATGCTCCAACTGTAATGCACCATTTTGGTTGATGTGAGCCAAATTTAGAAAAACAGCTCTTTATATCTGGATAACAGGTTTTAAACTTTGTATATAGCTCTTTTAGATTTGAAAGAATCAAACCCTTTTGCATATGAGATCTTCGAGCTATACTAACAAAATCTTTTTTACCAGACATTAGCCTGCTATTTTCATCATTACAATAAAATTCAATAATTTTATCTACTGTGTCTTGAGGTATTTCCTTTCCTTTTTTTTTTTTCAGGAAAAGATAAAATACCATTTTTCTGCAGCAATTTGCGTGATATCTGCACCATAAAATTAGTAACATTAAATTCTTTTTCTATATCTTTGTGAGACCAAGAAATTGGAACCAGTGTTAGTAGTTGGATTTTCTGATTACGATTGGAAATTAACATTTTTTCTTTGATTTTTCTAATAAGTATATCCATGTAATTTGCTTTACCTTTAACTTTCTTAGATAATTTATTGTAGGAATCTTCTTTACTTAACTGTTCAGGATCTATATTTAAAGTCCTTGCAATACCTAACTTTACTGTTTTTTGAATATGTAACAATTTTTTTTTGCCAAGAGCAACTCTTGAGTGACTATTTACAGCATGCATTTTGAGAGGACTTATGTTCATAGTCGTCAAAGTAGAATTAAGATTTTTTTTTAACAATTCATTTATATTAAGTTCATTATCTTCATCTTCATAAATCTGGCTACAAGTTGGTTCTCTTTGCTCATCATCCTTAAATGATATCAATTTAATCATACACGAGGGACATATCTTTTCTCCAGGAATAGCATTAATACCAATATTTTTTAATTTCCCAGCAAGTTGCATATTAATTTCTTTACATCCTCCTAAAAACATGAGTGATAATTACTGCTTCAGTGAGTATTTTGCAAAAATATATATAATTTATAAATAATTACAATAAAGTTTTAAAAAAGTTTCATGGTTAAGTAATAATACCTTTTCTTCTTTTTCCATTGTGTGAATTGAATGGATCACAGCAAGTTATGTGGATTGTAGAGTAACGTTTTAAATAAACATATTCATGGTGTAGGCAAACCGTTGCATTTTCATCAAAGTGAATGCCAGAACGACTAATTATCAAGTCTTTTTCCACATCATTAAGACTTGAAACTTTCTTGATATCATGAGATTTTACATAAGTTTGTTTGTTACAAATTTCTTTTTTTATTATTCCAATCGAACATCTTTCTTTATCATTCATATTGTTATATTATTTTTTAGATCTGTAAGAAACAATTTTAAAATAATTATTGTTTAAAGATTTAAAAATAGAAAATCCATTAGCTATAAAACATAATGATTGCATAAAATAAAGATCTTTTATGTGAAATGCAAACAAGTTCATATATTAGAACTGTACCTTACACAGCAAGATTCTAAAAATCTTTTTTAAAAATGCAAGAAATTTATGCAAATTGTTTTTTTCATTATTAAATAACAGTTTTTCTTAATTTTTTAAATAAAACTTTAAATACAAATAAATCTAATTTAAAAAAGAAAACCCTTCCAGATTTTTTGTATTATGGAGTTTGATACATATAGAACATTAGGAAAAAAATTTCAGAATTTTATCTTTTAGGCATCTTGAGATAAACATTTTTTTGTACAGGGCATCAAAAAACTTACAAAAAGTGTTACACCATTTTGAAATTGAATTTTTGTATAGAAGCTTGAGTTTTTGTGTGTTTTAGCCATCATTTTTAAGTTCCTCACCATAAAAAATAGTTAGGTAGAAATTTTGACCACTATTAAACAAGTATTTCATAAGTTAAAGCTAATTGTGTCATGCAATGAGCCTAAAAAATAAATGGCGCTGAAAAAAAAAGTCAAAAAAGAGGTTGGGACCAAGTATCAATATCTCTGAAACCGTAAAGAGTCAGACACTAAAATTTGAAGTGAAGTTTTCTTTTATTAAATCAAGCTTGTATTCCAAAAATCAGCAAAATCTGAGATGGCATGGTGCCAAGCATAAATTGAATTGAGCTGGAATGACCCGATAGCCATTGTTTTGAAAAGGTGATTAATATTGAAAAAAAAAAAAAAAAAAATGAAATAGATCAAAATTCAAATGTTGATGATAAGTGTATTTGTGATAAATCAAATATAAGCTAATGCATTTTTTTTCTCCAGTAAAGTGTATTGTAAGAAAGTAAGATACATTAAAAATACATTTTAAAACCGACTTGTTATGGCATAATTGAGCTTTTTTCTCAGTTAAATTTAAATGAGGGTTGTATATATGTATATATATATATATATATATATATATATATATATATATATATATATATATACAATTGTATATATGTATATATATATATATATATGTATATATATATGTATATATATATATATATATATATATATATATATATATATATATATATATATATATATTTATATATTTATATTTATAAATATAAATATATATATATATTTATATTTATAAATATAAATATATATATATTTATACAGCGAGCGTTTTAAAAAAACGCTCGCTAATTAAGTTTTTTAATGTGCCTGCAATTTATAAATATTCCATTAACGAACGTGTTTAACCTGACAAGCACGATCGCTCCCGATTCATGCCAAGGCCTATATATATATATATATATATATATATATATATATATATATATATATATATATATATATATATATATATATATATATATATATATATATATATATATATATATTTGAATGCGATTTGATCCCGAATCGCATTTGCTTTTCACACCTTTGTGATTAGTTTTTTCTTAAAAATATTTTTTGCGATTTTTTTTTTTGGTTGTTTATTTACTTTTTTTTTTTAGTTTAGCATTTTTTTGGCAATTCTTAAAAGTAATGTTTTTGTCATAAAGTACATCACACTAAATTTATCTTGTAAATAGGTGATCATTTGCTCTTTTGCGCAGAGATTTTCATTTGAATTTAAATTACTTTAAATCTTTGCGTGGAAGTCAATAATATTTAAAAGGTCATTAAAACATAAAGTTAAAAAGGGAGAAGGCGCTAAAGCATATTTTTTCTTTATTTCTTTTCTTTTTTAACAAAACACCCTGGTTTTTATCTTTGTTTTTCAAAATGTTGCACCAAATTAACTTATTATTAATTTATATTATTTTTTTATCAACAATTTTATATTATTAATTTTATTACTTTAAGTATATTAAAATATATATTAATTTGTTTTTATTAATTTATTTTTCTTATAGTTAATCAATGCTAATAGAAACCAGCAACTTTTTTGCTTCAACATTAACAGAAACCAGCAACTTTTTTGCTTCAATGTCTTAATTTTAAAGAAATATGATTCGATTTATTAAATCAAATTTTTTTGTTTCTCTTTTTTATTGGAAAACAATATGAACAAAAAAATTGAATGAAAACATCAATTTAAAAAAAAAATTGAATGAAATTATACTTGAACTTTTATTAGTCCTTTAGATCAAGAAACAATAAATTATAAAAAACTTGATATCTAATTTTTCTTTAATCTTACTTGTTTGGTCTATAGATATTACATTATCACAAGCTCTTTATATTGTCAAAACTTTGCAGTTTGTGTATTGTTATTTTATAGCTTTTTACAATAACAATTCAATACTCTTTAAAAATAACACATGTTTTATTGTCAGCATGAACACATTAAATAGTTCTACAACTAATTAAAGTGGTTTAAATATTGTAATATTTGCATTTTTACTTTTTTTTTAAAGGATCATGTTAAGTAAAAACAATTACTAAAAGTAATATCCTAATAGTATTAAATACTTTACTTGCTCATTACAGTATAATGAGCAAGTAATTTACACTATAACTGCAACTTAAACTTTAAGCTATAACTTAAGCTGTAAATTATAACAGTAAACTGCAATATTTTAAACTATATTTTAAAACTATGATATTTTAAAAAGGTTTATGAAGGTGCATGCGGTGTCCAATTTATGTCAAAAATGAAATATATATATGTGTGTGTATAAATATATATTGATGCGTATGTGTACAAAACGTATCTCTATTTGATTATAGCAAACAGATCAAATCATTTTTCAAGAAATCAGTTATTTAAAGAAGAAAATTACTGAGCCTAAATTAATTTCGGTAAGTTTTTTTTACATTTTACATTTTACTGATACTTTTTTATTTTACTAATTAAACTATTTGGCAGAAAGTATATTAAAGTTCAAAACTTTATGTTTAAGAAGCAACAGAAAGAGAATCTTATTCGCCTTTTATATTGTCATATGCTTGGACATAATGTATCATTTGCATGCATGGAAGTGGTCAAGTTCACTCAACAAAAAAACTTAATTGAAAAACAAGTCGGTAATACTATTGTATTTTTGTAGCACAATATATTTAAATTTATTTAATTCAGATTTATTTGCTTGGTTTTTGTATAAAAAATGTTACTTTATTACCTGTATTATTATTTTATTGATTTAATTGAAAATCTAGTTTTTAATTGTATTATTTTATAAAACAGTTAAGTTTAAACAGTTTAACATTTAAGTTTTTATAAAACAGTTAAACTTAAAGAGTTTAACATTTAAGTTTTTATTAGTTAAATTAGTCAATCTTAAATCACCATTTACAAAGAAAACAAACCAACATTTAACCTCGTCATAGTGCTTATTAATTTTTGTAATATTTGTTATTTGCTTTTCATTATAATTTTTTAAGTTACAGTAATTTTTTTTTTCTTTATTAAATTTCTTCTCTTTTTTTTTTTTTTTTATTGTTTCCAATTTAGGAAAAACTGAAGTAAAACAGGGTACTCATACAAAAAACCCTTCTAAAGTTATAAAAAGTTGTCAAAATCAATAAAAATTTACTTGCAAAATAAAAGAATACAACATTGACAACATTGCAACAAAGCAAGAATAAACGTTTAATTTGTTGAACTTAAAAAATACTATAGAATATTTATAGAATGTTTATAGAATGTTTATAGAATGTTATAGAACATTTGAATTTGTTTTAAACTTAAAAAAATATATACGCAAATACTCTGTGTTGCTACATTCTTGAGCAAAATGGGGTATTTATGTAATAATAAATAATATAAAAAAATTATAGCCAGACTGTAATACTATATAATACAATATATATAAACTGAAACTGGGGTCACCCAGTATGACCCCAGTTTCAATTTCCCCTTATATACTTGAATAAATAATTAGAAAATATTCAAAATGTTTAAAATATTTTTCAAACTATATTATATATTTCAAATTTTTTATTCAATTGTTCAAAATTGGAAAATATTTAAAATATCAAAAAAAAACATAGAAAGATACAAAAATACTAGTTGACCGCCATTTAATGACTTTTAAGTCAGTAAATGGTGAATTTTTCAATAAAATTTTTGATACCCAAGTTACATTCTACAGTAAATAAGAATCAGTATATTAGCAAACTTCAAGTTACTTGTTAAATGAATTTTATGAAATGTTAATTCACACAGAAATAAAATTTTAAGATAATTCTTACTTTCAGAGCAATAAAAATATAAAAGAAAGTAAAAGTAAGTTTTTTCAATAGGTCTACGTAGTGAAGAAGAACATAACACTTCAAATATCTAAGTTTGAATGTAGTTATACACCAGCCAAGAGCCAAGTGCCCGTATATCCACTTTTGATGTTTTTTTTCTGTTTATTAGCTTAACATGCCGACTTAACTGCCGACCTTAAAGTGTTTGAGGTCGGCAAAAAATTGCCGACCTCGTTTTCATGTTTTATGGTATAAAAGTTGTTTGGCTGAAAATTGATAAAAAAAACAACAACAAACAAACAGTTATTCATATTACTTTATTGCTTCTGATAAGCTCATATGTTTGCAAAGAATTTTATCTATTTATTTTAGATATCGATGAAAACAATATCTAGAGTACATATATAAACAAAATAACTGTAACATCTCAACAGTTTAAAAGAGAGTACCTAGTTGAACTGTCTCAAATTACATTAAAGATTTTGTATGTATAAAGCAATCCCAGAATCGACAGTCACTTTTTTTGCAAAAGTACAAACAAAGAGTATATTCAAGAAAATTTGTATATGACCATTTTGTACAAGAAATATTGTGAAAAATGTTTTTCTGAAAATGTTATTCCTGCCAAAAAAAGTATGTATGGATACTTTAAAAATCATAGATAATTAAAGATAAATGTGACAAATGTGAAAGTATGAAAATGAATCCTTTACCTAACTCAACTGAAAAAACAGAACATGAAATTTGCACAAAAAATAAAGTCAAGTCTAATGAAGAACATAATCCTGATTATGTTCTTCATTTGTCTTTATTATTATTTGCTTTAATATGGAAAATGTTTTCAGCCTACCAACAGTAAACGTTCCCAGTTTTTTTTACAAACAAAAGTTGACTTTTTTTCATTTGACTGCCCAATGCTCAATATCAAAAAAAAGTTATAGTGCACACTAGTCAGAGCTTACCAAGCCATGGGGTGTTGATTACAAAACTGAGTTTAGTTCGTAATGGAAGTTAAAAAATATTGTTAACTATAACACAAAAAACTAAAATTCAGGTAACAAAAACATTGCAAATGATATAAAGTTTGTGCAACGGAAGGTGCTCAAAAAAAAAAAAAATTAAAAAAAAAAAGTATATATGTCATCAGTCTTACAAACATTCACCTGTGTTAAATGTTAACTCTTAGCAATATTTTATTTCTGCCATTTTCAGCTCTATTGACAATTTGGTTCTGCATCAATTTAGCAAACCTTTTTTATGATCAAATGAAAAATATTATTTTATAAACTTTAATTTGCAGGCTGTAGTATTTCATTTTCAAGTGAAACAGAATGTTTGGATCAATTTTTAATTTGTATTTACTATTGTATTGAATGTACAGAATGTTTGGATCAATTTTTAATTTGTATTACTATATATAAACCAGCCCAAAAAATGCAACCAACATTCTAAAAGTATAATTTTTTTTTTTAATTCTGAAATGAATTTTGTTTTATTTTAAATTATGTTTTTCAATCTTATTATTATTTATTTTAGTAATGTTTATTATTGGTATAGTGTTTACCCCAACCTAACTGCCCCTCACAAACAAAAAAATTGTTTTAGATCTTTTTTGGTTTTATGCTCTTCAAAACTGCATTAAAATATTTAAAAAATAATTTACCATGAAGGGCTGACACTAGAAAAGCGATTTCTTCATATTTTACTAATTTAAATAATTACTAATTTAAATAATTACTTCATTGAATGCACTCCCAGGTGCTTAATACGCAGGAGGGGATTTTTATTAATTTTCGGAAATTTTTCCCACCCACCCCATGCTTATTAAGTACCCCCTTCTCCTCCTTTATCAACCCCTTGTTTATTAATTTTTACTTGCTATCAACAACAACAACAACAAAAAATCAGCAAAAATATATATCAGTCATTGATAAGAATAAAAACTTTCAGTGTAATTAGGCTTTATAAATCAACCTTTAAAAAATCTTGTAACTTTTAATTTGTCAAAATTTAGGTTTATCTTTATTTCTTATATAAAAACTTATGTAAGCATATCAAATCTGAAATTTAATGAAACAGCTGTTAAAAAGTGCGCATTTGAAGACAAGTCACACTAGAGTTAATTTGTTTATTCATTTTCTTTAAAAAATCCCCCTCCTCCCATTCCCCTTGTATTAAGCACCTTAGAGTAATAATATATTCTGCTTTCTGGAAAAATGCTTTTTATTAAAGTTTATAAACATGCAAACCAGCAATATTTTTATATTTAGATCTTTCAAAAAAAAATTTAATTACTTTCAAACCTTTCAAACAAATTTTTATTACTTAATTTTTCTTCTAATAAAAATCTTTCTATAAGACTTACCATCAACTGTCATTATTTGTGGCCTAAAATTTGAAATTTGAATTACAAAAAGTGGAGATACGTCCTCTTGGTTACTGATGAATAGTAAATAAACAAGAAAAAAACACAATGGGTAGAAAAATTAAATTCTTAATTAGTTATTAAAGTGACAACCTGACTGATAGGAGAACAAAAATCAATCATTTTTCTAAACAAATTGACAGATAGTCAGCTGCCTTCTTTTAGACAGTTTGTCAGGTTAGGATGATGGGTCTAAAAAATATAAGTGTCCATGAATGCTGACCTAATTTCACAATAGTTATTGTGTTTAAATAAATATATATGATAAAAATGATAAAAATTGTATTCACAGCTTATTTCGCCCTGAAAAAATTATGTATAAATAAATATATAAGATAAACATGATTAAAGTTGTATTTATAGCTTATCTTGTACTGGGCATACTGCTCGAAGAAAAAAATGATGTAGAATGCATGATGAGTATTGGATCAATTCAAAGAGTGAGTTTTTAATATTTGATTTCATTTTTAATTTGTATATATAATAAAAACTGTTTGTTTCTTAAAACTATTTTAGTTTAAGTAACAACACTATTGAAATTTATTTTCAAATTTTAAATTCATTTACTGATTCATTTGCCAGAATATTTGAATACTCTGAACGTTTTGAATAACTCTAAACAGTTCACCCGATGATTTTTTATACTATGTTTTTATAACAACAAGAAATAAGTTATACTATGTTGTTATAACAACAAGAAATAAGTTATACTTATAAGTTATAATTTATATCTTAAATTTTATTTATTTTTTATCTTTTTATATTATATATTTTATATATTATATTATATATTTTGCATAACTTATATCTTATAATTTATACAAAATGTTTATCAAAATCTTCCTCTTTAAATTTTTTTCAAATCAAATTTAAACTAATCTACAATTATAACCTCAAATACCTCAAATTATATTAGACCTGTTATAAATCCACTAGACTTAAAGGTATTTAGATTAAACTCAACCTTCAAAAAATCTTAGCAGTGTTAAATATTTTTTTCTAATGCATAAGTTGTAAATCATAAAAATAATTGGGTTATTTTCTTCATGGAGATCATTTATATATATATATATATATATATATATATATATATATATATATATATATATACACATACATATATATATATTTTTATACTTTGTTGGAAGTTAATATATAAATCATCGACCATATCACCTAAATTTTAAGATAGAGTGGTTGGGTGTGGTGGATAATATTGCCTGTGAGTAAGTGTAGTTTTTTTTAATAGCTGTATCTATTGGAGGTTGAATAAAATACGAATTTAATGAGGAACTTGATAATTGCTCGATTGTGTTATTGAAATTCTTTTTTCTTTTAGTAGCAGACATGCACTTTTTTGTTGCTTCTACGTGTAGTTTTTTATGGTTATGTTTTAAATGGTTCCATAAATGAGATAAAGTACCAGTTTTCTGAACAAAATACTTTTTGTTGCAATTTTCTTGTTTGTATTGCCAGAATACTCCTTTTTTTTCAAAGAATTCTTTAACTGCCGATTTTTTAGAAGTCAATTTATAGCTTGATGCGAAAATAGCTTGATGTAGCACAAACAAAAAGTATCGAATTTAAAATTACTTTAGTGAAAGCGAAGTTAAACATTAACGACGCAAAAAATAAAAGCTAACTTTTGAGTTACTAATTTGTGTTCTGCTCTGTTTAAATCTCTAATCGAGATTTAAAGTAATTTTAATGAAAAGTATGTTTACGTTCCAAAATTATTCTACCGCTGAATTTTCTGATAACATAAATATTGATATTTTGAAAACTTTTTAACGTTGTTTGTATGAAAACATAAAGTAATTTAAATAAAAAAATGATTCGAAAAACTGGAATCATTTTTTTTCGAATCGAGTCTCGAATTCAAAAAAATCAGAGCGACATTTGATTCGCAAATTGAATAGAAGCAATTTGCAGGGCCCTAATATATATATATATATATATATGTATATATATATATATATATATATATATATATATATATATATATATATATATATTTTATTTTAATTCACCTCCTCAAGGCCGAAAAGGCCACTACAGACGAGGAGGCTACTTATTTGTGGTTATAACCCTCTCTCAACTCTATAACTCCGAAACACGAACCTTGACGAGCAAGGCCGCTGCGCGGAGAAATGAGTTGAGTGCGGTACTACCAGGGACGTGGTGGGGATCCAACTCGGAACCACTCGTTTATGAAGCGAGCGCTCTACCACTACACCACTACCGCATATATATGTACATATATATTTATATATATATATATGTATATATATATATATATATATATATATATATATATATATATATATATATATATATATATATATATATCTTAGGGTGTCCCAAAAAACAACTTTTTTAAAAATAATCTGCTCTCACCCCCTAAATGTGTTCTATCTAATACAAAAACACTAAGTTTAAACTTTTTTTCAATAAAAAATAATTTAAAAGGTCCCTCAAGACCCTCGAATATTTAATGGGTCCCTAATATTTTCAAAAAAAAAGTTTTTAAAAATTATGTCAACCTGGTACTCAAATGAACCAAAATTATATAAAAATTTCAAAAATAATGTTCATTTCGGAAAAAACGATACGTAACGATATTTCCCCTAAAATATACAATATTTGCCAAAATAAAAAACAATTTTCTGTAAAAAAATCGCTGATTTCGTTAAAAAAAAAAAGTATCGTTTAAGTACGTATTATTTTTTCCAAAATGAACATTGTGTTTGAAAATTTTATATTATTTCGGTTCATTTGAGTACCAGGTTGACATAATTTAAATATTTTTTTTTTTGAAAATATTAGGGACCCATTAAATATTCGAGGGTCTTGAGGGACCCTTTAAAATATTTTTTATTGAAAAAAATTTAAACTTAGTGTTTATATATATATATATATATATATATATATATATATATATATATATATATATATATATATATATATGTATATATATATATATATATATATATATACACCACTACCTACGAGACTAATCACCACTATCAACCCTAATTACGAGAGTTGATATATATATATATATATATATATATATCAACTCTCGTAATTAGGGTTGGTATTCAGCAATGCCAACCTAACTGCCAACCTAAAAGTGTTTAAGGTCGGGAAAAAATTGTCGACCTCGTTTCTATTTTTTATGGTAACCCTTTGTATCAAATTTTTTTTGCTGACCTCATTTTTCCTAATTCCTAGGGTTGATATATATATATATATATATATATATATATATATATATATATATATATATATATATATATATATATATATATATATATATATATATATATATATACATATATATATATATATATATATATATATATATATATATATATATATATATATATATATATATATATATATATATATATATATATATATATATATATATATATACATATGTTATAAATTAATAAATTATAAAAGTTTTGAAGAAATAAAAAAAAAAATTATTTACAAAATATTCTTTTTGATTTCTTCAAAAAAGTTAAAGAATTTTTTTTTAGGATTTAAAAAGTACAAATCTTTTGGAGGTGAGTTTAGGCTTGCAGGGTGCTTGTGAACTTGCTACTAAAGATATGTTGCATGCAATTATAAACCAAGTTGTGGCTTTGCTAAAACATAAAAGGTAAACATAAAAGTAAAATAAAAAAATTAAATAATTATGATATATATGATTTTTGTTTTATTATTTTTCTTGGTTTATATTTCTTGTTTTGTTAATTACATTTAGTGAAATTGTGCGAAAGAGAGCCATAATGACTTTGCTGAAATTTTACGAAATAAGGCCTCAAGATATAGATCTATCCTTGTTTAGCAATGCATTATTAGATACTGACCCTGGAGTTATGGGAGTTGCTTTGAATGCTTATTTGCTCTTGGTATATGTAAGTATTAATAATTTTCCTTTTTTTTGACTTTTAAATACATTAAAGTTAATAATGCACTAAACAACTTTGCATAAACAATAGTTTTATTGGGATTTTGTTGGGAAATTTATTATTTTAGTTATATATATATAATTAACTTTTTCTTTTACAATTTGCAATATAGTTTCTACTAGTACATGTTTAAATAATTTATAATCAGTATGATGTTAACAGACCTTCCAACTCTCCAGTTTTTACTGTGAGAATCTCACAGTTTCATGGTTAATCCAATATTCTCACTGTAAATTTTAAAAATTTTTTTTCAAATTTACTATTGCTCAAAACAATATAAATTCCAAAAAGTTGTTACATCAAGAACTAATGAAAATTAAGTGCACAAGATAGTTCATTAAAAAATGGATACCAATATATAGCTTTAAAGCTTTTAAGTTTGTATTCCGAATTTTTAAGAATAAAAAGTAAAAATATAAGAGCAAGTTTAGTTTAACACGGTGTGCAGATTACCCAGTTAGGGCAATGATTTTGATGATAATGTTTTTGAGGTAGTTGGTAAAATGCCAACTGCCAACTGCGAACCGATATAATGCGAACTTTTTTGCAAACCAAGACATTATATTTTAATGGCCACTACTGTTATGATATTTAAAAAAACGTTTGCTCATCAGTCTTTTAATTTAAATTAAATATAATGGTATTTGATACATTTTATTTAACTTAGACTGTATTTTTTTTAAATTAATTATAATTTATGTTTCTGCTTGAAGTCCATAAAAATCACAAAACAAACAATTTAACGGCAAACGGAAAATGAAAAATACTACATCATTAGCGACCAATAGATTATGGTTCACAAAAAAGTTTGCATTTTACTGGTTTGCAGTTTGCATTTTACCTACTACCTGCTTTTAATTAAATTTTTATCAAATAATAATTTTAATGATTATTATTGACTAATAAGGACAATTTCAGCTTATTTTGGTTTAAAATTTAAAATGTTTAAAGTAATTAGAATAATCATTTATGAAATAAAACTTTAAAATGTTTGTGAAAGAAAGGTGCACCTCCAATATCATCAAAAATCATTTCAGATACCTTAGGAATAATATTCTTCACAGTAATGCTGAATTAATAACAGCCTGAACAGCTGTTGAAAACTGCAAAGAAAGCGACATAAATTTGCAATTATAAAAATAATAAATAAAAATGAGTTATTAATTTATCAAATATATATATATATATATATATATATATATATATATATATATATATATATATATATATATATATATATATATATAACTTATCATACTATTTTAATTTTTCTTGTTTGAAAAAAAGTATTTTTTTTAAATTTTTTTTACATGTATCCAGGTTTTTGTTTTTTTAAATAAATCTCAAGGTTTTGAAAAAAAAAAGGTTGGAAGGTCTGTGTAAAATTTTTTTTGTGTGTTTTTTAAAAATATACTCAAGACATAAATATTCAAAAATAGTTTAATGTATAAAAAATTAGCAAATTTTGTATGTGCTACATGCACATACCTAATTTAATAAACAACATACAAATAGTCAAAATTAATAACAAATTTAAGAAATAAAATTAATAAATTTAATAAAAACAAATTTATTCTAAATAATATTAAGGATAAATTTAATTTTTTAAATGAAATTTTAGCATATATTTGATTTTCATCAACGTTAAATGAAAAAATGATTTAAAAATTTCTACTATTTATTATATTTTCTATAGATAAATAAAAATATAGATTTCAACTAAAGATGTTTTACAGTATTGTTAGTAGTTGAGATGTCTTGACTTGTTTTAATTTGGTTGTTTGGAGTTCAAATAGTTTTTTTTGTTTTTTATTTTTTTTCCTTCAACATCTTCACTTCCAACAAGGCTGCAAGCAACGACTATTAGAACTGGAAGTTACTGAAAGAGAAAAGATGAAGTTTATAGAGCAAGACAACAATTGACAGACACCTTAAAAAATTTCAAATTATATTAATCAAAAAACAAAATAGAGCGAATTCCAAAGAACTGATGTTCAAGGAAAAAAACTAGGCGAGTAAGAATTTTTGGCTTTTTAGCTCTTTAGAGCAGTGTCCATTATAGTATCTATAGAAAAGAAAAAGAGAAGCAACATGACAATTTGATAATGGTTGTAGGTTAACTGCAAGAGCAGGTCCAACTATGTTTACAATGCGTTTTTGCATCTTGTCTAAAAAAGAAAGGCCATCATTGGAAGATCTGTCCCAGAAATGACAAAAGTATTCCATACAAGGAGACCCCCTCAAAGCAATCAGAGAGTGTTTGCTTATCAAGACAAGATTAAATGATAGTATCATCAGCGAACAATGCACCTTAGATGTGAGAATTTCTGGAAGATCGTTAATGTAAATTAAAACGAGTATAGGGCCAAAGATAATGTTACCTGAAACACCATAAAAAGAAGACCATAAAAAGAAGACCATGCCAAACCTTATCAAAAGTTGATCTAATACACAATAAAACCAGTTATTATTGTTAGCAAATCAGTAGTAGAACAAGAACATCAAATTTCATATTGATGATCAGAAAGTAAACTATTAGATACAAGATGAAAGATTAAGTGTTTGTTAATTAAAGACTCAAAAACCTTGCTTATGATAGGAAAAATACTAATGGGACAGTAATTAGACGAGTCAGATTGCTTTTCAGAATTTTTGAAAATAGGAATAACAGATGCTGCTGTCAAACAGGCTGGAAAACAAGGTTCAGATAAGCACTTGTTAAATAATTTTGAAAGTATAGGCGACAGCTCCGAAGAAAACTTCTGTAAGACTATAACACGTATGTTGTCTGGGCCACAAGCTGTAGAAGAGTCTAAGCAGGAAATCACTTTAGATACAGAAACTAGAGTGATACGAATGTCAAGCAATGGATCAACCTGTATGTCAGCTATATCAGATAGAATGCAACTAGTGGAATCAAGAGATGATTTTAGGTTATAGTATAATAAAATAGTTTTAAGCTATAATTAATTAAGTTTAAGGGTTGTTACACTTGGCACGTTAAAAAATTTGTAACAAATTTATTTTGATGATCTTGAATTTTTTTCAGAAAAAAAACAACTAGATATTTTGATAACTAAATAAACTAGATAAGAATACTGGAAAAACACTGTAACTTGGTTGTTATTTTTAGACAGATTGCATGCCATACAAACACCTTGTTCCAGTTTTTATTTCAATCCTGAAGCAAATTATTAGTGGAAAATTACATAGTGGTTTTAACTTTAATGAAATTCCTTCTCCCTGGGTTCAAATTAAGCTACTTCAAATATTAGCTCAATTGGGAAAAAATGATAAAAAGTATTTTTATTTTCTCATAAGATAAATGTATTTGTATTTTTTTATGCTTTTCTATTTTTATAAATTTGTTTTATAATTTTTTATTTTTCAAAATGTTGTTAAATTGTTTCTTCAGTTGCAGCGAGAAAATGTATCCTGTTTTGAATATGTGTCTTGAAAGTACAAGTATGCATGCTGGGATTGGATGTGGTCAGTTTATTTTAATTTTTTTATATAACTTTTTTTATAAATTTACTTATCTAAATTTTTATTTTATTTTAAATAGCAGTGACTTATGAATGTATGAAAACAATAGCTACTATTTATCCGGATAGTTCATTAATCAATTTAGCTAGCAGTAAAGCAGCTCTCTTATTGACATCACAAAACTATAACCTGAAATATTTAGGTAATTATTACTACTCAAGTAGATATTAGTATACTTTTAAAACCTTTCTTATTTTAGTTTTTTTCTCTATTTTTATGTTTTTATTACTAATAGAATACTATTAATTAGTATTTTGGAAGTTCAGTAAAAGTAATGTTGTCATTTGTATTTTGTTGCTATCTTTATTTTGTTGTCTATTTTATTATTTCTATTTAAAATGTTACAGATTAGAAGAAAGTTTAAATTTTAATTTAAAATATTAAATTTTAAATTGCTTTAAAATCTAATTAAAAAAAAAAAAAAAATTATAATTGCACTGAGCAGGAAAAAAAATTATGGAAAAAAATGTCTGTTTTAGGCTAGGTCAATTATTTGCTTTTTTTCAAGTCTAATTGCTGAGGTACTCAATTGTACTTAAAAGAAAATATAAATTTTTTTATTAAGAAACTCTTTTGTGATTTTACCACCTTTATTTTTATAAGTGATGCAGCATGTTGTTATTGTCATTTTGTTATTGTGACTTTTTTATTTTTATTTTTATCTAAAGAAATGCAAATAAAGTTTTTTTACATTCGCCCTTAAGCAATTTTTTTGCAAACCTCTAAATGTTGTAAACTAAAGCGTGTACATGAAATAAATGTGAAAGTAGGCTATTAAAAAAAAAAGTACTCATTAGATTTTATTTAGAACTAAGTAATAATTTTAATACATTAATATAAGAGTATAAAATATTTCATAGAAAATTATTTCTGTAGGCATCTAATAAATCTTCGAACTTTTGCTTTAAAGGTACTCATAAGCTTGCGCACAGAACAATCATCATAACTATTTAATGATTTTTTAAATGACATTTTCGACTCTTTAACGTTTCTGCATAGTTTTTTTTTTAAACATTTTCTGTTTAATAATTACCAAGTACTTTTCGAAAAATTTTAATTTTGGGAAGTTTAGAGAATTTACTGTTTTAGGCATAACTTAAATGTCATTTTGTTTATACCATTCCATATTCCATTCCATAATTCTACATTTCATAACCAGTTTACTATAATGACTTGAGCTAAATCAAAATTTCTTATCTGCATTTCCTTTATTGCATTTCATTTTTGTGATTTGAAATAGTAAAGCCATTTTTATTTTGAACTTTACAACAAAAATATGTGAAAATTCTTTTTGTGTGTTCCTGTGAGAAGCTTGGGTTAATCGTTAAAATTTTAACCAGTTCTTGAAAACCCTCCTTTCTTCCACCACCAGATTTTCATTTGATCAATTTTGTTTTTGGAAAAAAAATTGAATAACACGACTAACGATGTAGTATTTGTATGCAATTTTTTCTCTTTTTTTTATCATTTTTAAAACTTATTTTGAGTTAAACGAGAAACCTTAAACATTTTTTTGAAACAGCAACATGTTGTAAACAAAATACAAATAAAATTAAAAAATATGTTAATACAGCCACTGAAAAAACTTACATTTTTATTCTTTCACACAAAACAATGATTTATTTTTTCTTTTACACAAAAAACTAACATACTTATTCTTTCACACTAAACAATCACACGTTTATTCTTTTACACAAAACAATGACATATATGTTCTTTTACACATAACGATGACATATTTATTCTTTTCACATTTGTTTTGTGTACATGTTTTATTTAAGTTTTCTTACTAGAATGCCATCCATTATGTTCTTATTAGGATGCTGTCCATCATGCTCTTACTAGTATGCTATCCATCATGTTCTTTGAAATGAAAAAACAACATGTATGAAAAGTTTAACATGAGAACTGTATTTCCGCTTACAGAAAATACCACAAAAATGCTATTAAACAAATCACACTCTTTTTAGTTTCTTTTCTGTTATTTTATAATTTCTGAAGCCTGAGTTTGTTTCTTTTAAAAACCTTGATAGCTCATTATCATAATGTATAATGCAAAATAAAAATGAGCATATACAAATGATGCATTTAACATAAACAATGTTATATAACACAATATTCAATTAAAAGTAACAAGCAGTAATGTCGTTTAACTAGTTTAGAGTTGAGATTTTGTATGATATTTTATACGATGGTTTATTAATAGTTAAAGGCAATTCTGAATTAACTGAATAGCATGTAGACTTGAAAAAGCATATGAAAAATCAATTAATTATCAATTGCATAAATATTTGGTATAATTTAGAATAATTTAGGTAGTAATGAAATTGAATTAGTTGTGTATTACAATTTTACCACAAATCCCTTACAATAATAAACTTAATAATTTAATAATAAAAATTACAATAATAAAATTAATATTGTAAATTCTTTACAATATTAATTTTATTATTGTAATTTTTATTATTATATTAAGTTTTATTATTGTGATTTTTTTTTTCTAAATCCAAATTTAGTTCGTGTTGTTTTTACTTGAAGCAAAAATTAATTGCAATAAATAAAATTTTTTCATGAAATAACAATATTATAATTTTCATCTTGCAATCATGATGAACATGATAACATTCACAGACTCATGATTGTCTAAAACTAAAAGAATTGGATTCACCTTTGATGAATGTGATTTTATGTGATGTGTGTGTTTGGCTGTGAATGTAATATTGCTTATATTTAAGTCATGGTTGACAAGGTTGTGAGTTCGAATCTCTCTCAGGGAAATTTTTAAAAATTTTAAATATTTTATGTTTTTTTTACTATTATTGTTGTTTATTTATAGTTATGCTTATTATTTATTTTCTGAAAATTTCATAGTATATTATAGTTTATTTCATAAGTTTATCAATGTGTGTGTAAATATCGCCATAGGAGCAGTGGAGTGTATATATATCACCTGACTTATATAGGGATAGGTGCAGTGGAATGTACATACATTGACTGAGGGTTTAGGTTTAGGTATTGACTGAGGGTTTAGGTTTCGGCATTGACTGAGGGTTTAGGTTTCGGCATTGACTGAGGTTTAGGTTTAAGCATTGACTGAGGGTTTAGGTTTGGGCTGAGGGTTTGACTGAGGATTTTGGGCATTTTTTTAAATAAAAGAAAAGTGTTTCATTAATTATTTAAACAGTATTTATAAATTAATTTAATTTATATAAAAAAAAATTTAAATTAAATTAAACTAGATTTTTAAGTGAAATAGTGAAAATAGTTAATAAACTTTAAATACAAATAAGAAAAAATTAGTTGCACATGCATACAAATAATACATAGCTTATATTATAGTTATATTGTGTTGTCAAAACCAAGTAATATAGTCAGTATATTTGGTATATTAATTAATTTTTTTATTTTGTATATTGGATATAATTAAATTGAAAAAATAAAAATACCATAATTGAAAAATATTTTAGGTGTGACAATTCTGAGTGAATTAGTAAACATCAATATGAGCTATGCATCACAACACCAAATGGTTGTTATAGAATTCTTGAGTGACAATGACGAAACACTCAAGCGAAAAGTATTTTTTTAAACTTATTTGTCAAACCACAATTTAATTTTTGTCTTTTGATTTTTAAGAACCGTTTAATTATTACCATTGTTTTTCAGTGATTTTCAAAAATTTTATTATGATAAAGTTGTTACAAAACATAAATTTAAACATAAATTAGGCATTAGATTTGCTGTATCGTTTAACCAATGAACATAATGTGAAAGTAGTATGTGAAAAGTTAACAGAATATCTGCAAAATACTGTAGATGATTTTATTAAAGACAATCTAGTCATAAGAATATCTACATTGGCTGAAAGGTTTGCTTATACTGATTTTTAAAATCTTTATTTTATCAAAAGTATAATAGTTTAGATATCTAATTATTTACTTAAAGGTATTCTCCGAACATAGAATGGTACATTGATATTATGACAAATATATTAGTTTATTTGAAGGTATTCTCCTGACATAGAATGGTACATTGATATTATGACAAATATATTGCAAGTTGGTGGAGATTCTGTACAAAAAGATGTGGTGTTGAATATGATGAAAATAATTGAAAAAGGTTACATTTTATTATACAACATTATTCAACTTATTGTTCTTTTATTTTTTCTTTAAATGTTTTAAAGAAAAAAAGTAATTTTATATCAGGAGTTAAAAAAAAATTGGTTTCTGCCCTCCATTATATATATATATATATATAT